GAGCTACTCGTCGCAGACATGAACGAGCTGTTGGCAGCCTTCAAGAAAGTCGTCGGGAGCGCTCGCAGGATGCGCTGCGAAGTAGGAATCGCGTTGGTTGGTGGTAACGCCTGCGACGTGCCAAAAACGTTCATCTGGGACGGCGGGATCCAGGGCGCGAGCAAATGGATCTTGCCCCGAATGTGTTGGGGCATCCGGAGAGCAGTAGCCAGCGCATAAATGGCGCCGGCAGAGTGGGCGAGAATCGAAAATTTGGTAATCTTCAGCGCCTGACAAATGGCATAAACATCATCGGGCCAGCTGAGCGGCGTCGCGGTTCCATCGGCGTATGACTCGCTATCGCCCACGCCAGGTCTGTCGGGTGTAATGAGGCGAAGCTTCAGCGTCAACGCGAGCTCGTCGTAAAAGGCCGTGATATATCTCGTCAATCCCATCCCCACACAGCAAAACACAGCCGAGCCATCTGCATCTCCCACCTCGGAAAAGGAAATCACACGCCCGGTCTGCGGGTGTCGGATCTTTTGTGATAGGCGAGGAGAACACAGATACGACTCGACGGCGTCGTCAATCGAGTCTGCACTGCGGGGACGCTCATACCCTGCTGGCATGCTGTTGCGTGGATCGGGCGAGGCTGCCGAGTTGCGTGAGCTCGCCTGCGACTCATCTCCCTTGGGACTCAGCGGCTGAGATAGCCGCTTAAGCCTGGAGCTACTGCGCTTCATCTTGATGGCTTCACCTGCGTCTGGGGCCTCGCGTGTTGATTTGCGCCTACTATTCCGGTCGGCGATCTGCTCATCCCGACGACGACCTTGAGCGACAGCGGGGAACGGTGCACTATCCTCCACGTCCTCTTCTTCAAATAACGGTCTCGTTGATAGAAAGTTCTCGGTATGCCTGGATTCGAAGAATGGGCGGCTGAAAGACCTTCCGGATGCGTCGGCCGATGCTCTAGCGAGGTCGTTTTCGGAAGCGTGGCGAGACAAGTGTTTCCGCCTCGGTGCCTCCCTTGAAGAGGTCTGTTCCTCTCCTTCAAATATGATTTCGTTGGTGCTATTGGCGCTTTCTCTCTTTGATCTAGAGGATCTCGTAGAGGATCTCTTTGCATTCGCTCCCGTCTTGAAGAGAGACGAGTCTCGCGCGGGTATCGTTCTAGGGCTGGTGGTGGTTTCGGGGCCTGGGCTCGCCATTTCGTGGTGTTTGCGGGCGCTTCCACGGGTGGGAGAGTCTGGTGTGTAGGTAGGTTCTTCGCTGATGGGCGTCTCGGCTAGGAAGGGATCGGGTCGTAGGGAGGCTCCGGTGAAGCTGCTGGAACTGCGGTCGCCAATACTCGCGCGCTTCTTCTCTTCCTTTTCTCGTAGTCGCTCCTTGGAACTCATGTACATCAATCCCCTGTGACTTCTGCCCTGCTTCTTACCCCAACTGTCAAATGAGCGCTGTCTCTTGAGCTCTGGGGTGGGCGCAGAGCCACGTTCTACAGAAAGATTGCCTATGCTCTGCGCATCATCCCGTGACCCAAGTGAGCCTTTGGAAGAGGGCCTCGAAGAACTTCGCAAGAGGGATTTGAGGCCACCGGGTCCGTCGCGGGCGGGTGAGGACTTGGGGGCGGTCAAGGGCGAGAATCCGGAGGGTGGTTTGGCGGTTCGAATAACGGGGGCGGATGCGGCGATCTCGTCGAGTGGCAGGTCTTCTTTCCGGAGTTGTTCGAGGGAGGGCTGGTGAAAGGCGCCGTAGTCGACTCCAAAGCTGCCTTGGCGAGGGGTTGCGGGAACTGATAGGCTCGGGGTGCTGCGCTCAAAGTGTTGATCGGCGGGCTTGGTTATGACGGCAAAGCTGGTGATGAGAGAAGAGATGACCTCGGGAGAGCTGGGAACAGCATCGGCGTGGCGCGACGGAGGAGGTGGTGGAAGAGAGCGGTTCCGCGGTTGAGGTTCAGGGGTTTGAAGATTCCGGTAGCGCTGGGGGATAGGGGGGATTGAGTTTGGATCGTAGTCGTCCATGGCGACGCAGGGAGAAAGAAAGAGGTTACGGGTAGTCGACGGACCACGCCAGACCAGACCAAAGTGCCCGAACCAGACCAGCAGACCACGCGAGCGCAGTACGACACGGAACCGGCCTCAGGATCCAGGAGAGGGCACGGAACAGTTGCTGGACTGACTGCTGCGAAGGGCGGGCGGTCGGGGCGGCGTGCGTGTGGTGGGCAGCAGGTAGAAAGGCTGCAGTGTGCAGTGTGCAGTGTGCAGTATGCAGTATGCAGTACCGTTCCAGAAGCAGAGTCGTACAGCAAGAGTACTCTGTACGTACAAACAACCCAACGGGTGGTGAGATGGGATGAGAAGAGGGTCCGGGTGGCAGCTGCAACTGCGACTGCGACGGTGACTGTGACAGACCCAGCAGGAACAATGGAAACGGTGAACTAGGGCGGCCGCGAGCCCCCCTTACCGTGCGTCGATCGGGATCCGGGCTGCACCACGGCCCACGAGTGTCGGCGGATTGGCGAGGAAAGGGATAGGATCTCACTCTGGGTCGGGTGTAGAGAAAGGCCCGGAAAGGGTCGCGTCTTTTCGCTAGTACTGAACACCGGCGGCGAGAACGAGAACGTGACCAGCAGACGTTGGCGCAGGTACACGGAGTCGGGAAGGTCGACAAGTCTGGCGTGCCTGGCAAGGTATGGTGGTTTGGTGCGGCTACGGGACCGCAGACGCACGAGGAAAGGCGCGGGCGACCAACTGCGAGTGGTGGATAGAGCCAGGGAGACTCTGGAGCGTCCGGTGTCCAGAACCAGCGAGGCCGGCGTCTGTGTTCATGCAGGATGGCCAGCAGCGGTCGCGAGGTAGCTGTCAGGTACTGGCGGCGTACTGCATGTAGTGTGAAGGAAAGCAAAAAAGGTATGGATCTGGCGTCTTGGTACGAGTACGTTGATGCGGGCAGCGGTGGCTGCAGCTGCAGACAGGGTGAAGCGGAGCGCGTTCGGGATAGCGTCTCTGGTTTTCTTGCGGATTGTCTCGTCTTGTCTCGATTCTCGCGTTGATCGACCGAGGCGAGGAGATCAAGAGAAGGGGGCCGTGCTCGAAGTTTTCTGGGTTGTCTTCTAATTATGATTGCTGCTTTGCGGCCTTGCCCTCAAAAGTATGGTTATGCCCCTGGAATTGTTAAAATTCACTTTTTGTCCGCCCCTTGCGCTCGATCAGATGAGATTGAGAACAGAGATGGTGGGTGGGTGTTGTTGGACGTGATTGGCAGTGGTGCGTGGGTTGGAATTGGGCGGAATGATTGACACAGTCCGACTCCAGATCGATTAATTGGTTGCTCCGAGTGACGACAATGTATGGTTGACAGGCAAGACTCTTAATTCTGGGCGTTGATCTCTCTGCCCTTGGCTAGATCGGGGATGGAGGAAGGATTTAGTCGATAAGGGGGGGTCAGGCAGAAAAATTGAAAGCAAGCCGAGAGAAAAGGGAAAGGCGATGGAAGCGCGGAAGACGTGGGAAGCCAAAAGTCAGGCTCAGTCAGATTGATCCAGTTGCCCAGCGTCGCATTGACAGGTGAAAGAAAGGAAAGCGGCGGCGGCGGCGGCGGCCCAAAGACAAACCCAAAGGGCGTTCAATCTTGAAAATGCGAGATGTATCCGTAGGTATTCGTATTCCGTAAGGCAGCCCAAGCCAAGGCAGCAAGTCAGAAAGTATGTGTCAATGGGAAAAATGACGGACAGTCGGACAAAAGTGTATGACCTGAATTATTGATTGCGCTCCCTCATCTCACCGGAAGGTAATATTGGGTGGTCTGTCGAATAAGGTGGTGGTTGTGACTGAACATGGCGCAACGGCCGTATTATTAGCCCCAGAATGGTATTATTGACCCCCAAGCCCCCCCTTCTGCTGGGGAATGCGTCTCTCTTTTCGCAGTGTGCATTAAATCGTCTTGCGTGGTGCGGCGTCACCACTGGGATGGCTGCGCAATGCCGATTGCACATCAGACAAGATAGCAGGGACGCAAGGGCGAATCATGTTCCGTCTGGCATGCTGCGTACGCAGGATGAAGGAGTCGAAGAACGCTGCTACCCAGGGGAATGGTACTGGATAAGACTGGATGAAAACGAGACGAGGGAGGGATGAGTGCCGTATGACGATGGGCGTCCAACTTTGGCTTGCTCCTCGCCTGCACCCACTCTCAACTGCGTATTCGAAGGAACTTTTTGACGATGACAAGGGCAACGAGGGTGAGATGGGTAAATTAAATTGGAAGATGAACGGAAGGAAAAGAAGATTCGCTCATCCACAGACCTGTACGAATAAGCCCGCTGCCCAATGCTGAGATGCAGTGGAAGGTGTATCTTGCTGCAGTGGAAGTGCGATGGAAGGCTCCTGCCTGTGTCTGAAGTCGACCCCTCCAGGTGCAAATCTCGGTCCAGGCGCACGGGACCGAAAGAGTGGGGTAAATGACAGGGGCCGCCCGGGGCCAAAATTCGTGAGGAAGGAACGGGAGGTCACCAGTGACGATAGCTTCAGAGTCCCGTCGCAACTGCCCTGCCTTGCGGGATAGGTACGTCGTCCTTCGTCACAATGGAAGGAAGGATTTTCCATAAATTTGATACTTGTCACACTTGTCAGCTTGAAACAGTCCAGTCAACTCAATCCCTCCTTCCTTCGCAAACAAATACCTAAACAAAAACAAGAAAGAGTAACTGCTAAACGGTAAACCACGTGTTCTGGGCAAGCCGCCAAAACTCAAAAAAAGGGTTCAATTTTACCCCTGGCCCAAAGCTCCGGCAATTGACCAATCCCAGCTGCAGTCTTTCAGCCCCCGCTTTTCCGGCCCGGTGCGGATACCAACAAGGGCCCTGTCAACTCGGTGGGAACAAGGGACGGGAATTCCATCCGAGGAATTGCAATACAAAGAAGCTCGCAGCATCCAATTACTCAAGCCAAGAAGACAAAACCAGAACGCAAACAAAAACGAACGCGGCGGAAGAACGCGGGGTCGGACGCATAACGCTGAAATCGCTAACAATAGAGAAGCTTTTCTTTCCCGGCAAACATTCCGGGGTGCTCAGCTTCCTTCCGAAAGTCTTGACGGACTTGAGACGAGCTGAGCAAACCTACGCCAAGGACTAGGAGATAAATGGCAAACCTACCCCTCGTGTTTTACCACTGCTGCCAAAGTGGCTCTCTCAGTGGCGAATTCGGTCAATACGCTACTAAAGCTGGGTTCGATTAAATGTCGTTGGGTCGAACGAGCGCCGGGGCAACACAGGTCGTTCTCGAAGGGTTCGAAATGCGTAATGAAGAATGAACATTCAGGTAAACTCCAAGTCAAGCCCAACACCACAACATCCAGACGGGCGAAAGCAACTATATATCCCACGCCCCACCGAACCCTGCCGTGCCTACCCAGCATGCGAGGGGTTACTTACGATCTCCCTCCGAGTCTCGGTTCTGGTGCAGCGCCCGCCCGTCCCTGATTAACCTGTCTCTCATTTAGTCAGTCTGCATCACATCACACTTTGCTGCACCGATGGCACGCTGGCAAGGCCCCAAAGCCTAACGTAGTCGCCGCCCGAGTCCCGCGGTCTCATTGTGTCGTGCAGATTGACTAGTTTCGCGCCTGACGTCGTTTCCCACCCGCAAATTGTCTCATCGGCCAATGTTTATAGTTTGGAAGGGACTCGGGGACCTAGTGTATGAGAGAAGATTGCGCAAAAGGGAAATCGGGATCTGCAGAGGACGCGCTCCATCTTGCTAATGACTTGTATACTTCCTACAACATCTGTAGTGACATTCTCCCATCTCTACGCGACATCTGCAAACAGACTTGTCTACAATGGTCCAAAGAAACAGAAACGTGGTAGTCGGAGCAGCCTCACTCAAGTGCCGAACTTTGGGGGTTCATATCCACCACACAGGCCACAGAGCCGAGTCGGCGCCTTGATAACCAAGAGGCAGGTTACATCTGTACCACAGCTCCCAGGCACCGCCGCGCCAGAGGAGACGAACGTGCAACATCACGCCGGCGACGTCGCACGTTACTCGGGTCGCTTGGGTAGCGAGTGGTACTTACCACCACGAACGAGCGCAGATGTCTGTGCCTCGTGGCGAGACAAAACAACAAAAACAACAACAACAACAACAACAATATTGACACGGCGAAAGAGCTGAGAAACGATTATAATGTTAAATCAAAAAGTGTGCTTACGTGCGAATACTCCTTGATTATGCAGATAGTTGCAGTCGTGTTTTATGTCTCGCTACATTGTCGAATGGGGATCGGCGCTCGTTTGAGGTTCTTGTCTCTCTTGGAAAAGCAAGTAAATGGGCTGATGGCCACTGTATGACTGCTTTTTCTCATATTGTCTCTGGTCGCCTGACGATCGTTGAGGCAACTTGAACCTATGATCGAAACTTCTGGAAAGTGTGCGGATCGTCAGAGGAATCATGGCATTAGTGACCGGTCAACTGCAATTTGATAGAAACGCTTGAATCGTAATGGTTACGAGGTGCTTGAAATTTTAACTGGGTATAGGCTCGTCAGTCACTTTACACGCGGGGGTATATATCAAGAGAGCCAATCGCACAGGGCACATAGTCACTTGGAGACATGCAAACAGTCACATAGATCAAGAGGAACAATTCATGAGGTGGCCGAAATTTCTCATTACCACGCCCTGACGAGGGCTCAAGCCAGGTCCAAGAGAACCAATCCACTAGGGACGATATCCCCAATCCGCCTAGGCTATATCGCAAAAGCAGGAACCAATGCAGAAAACCGCGTGAAAAAACAAGAGTTGCATCCTCCTAAAATTCCCAGAGACAAATGAGATCCGAAAGCATGTGGTGTGTTAAGTCGTTCAGTCTTGACATGCTTTGTTTGCTTGGGAGATTTTCCGTTTTTTTGGTTGTTGTTGAGTTGTTGATTTGGCAAGGCCAGAAGAGAAAGAGCGCAAAAGTCTGCTCCTTGTTGCGCTATTGAGAGATTGTACATGATCTTTTCCTCGGCCTGCCCTGGAGTCGGAGGCGGGCACATCCCGTACGTATCCTCAAGACATCCGTAATCTCAGAAAATGATGGAAAGAAGACAAAAAACACAATCTGTTATGGTAGCTGGCACCAAACTCATGTGCCCCGGTATGTCTAATACCGTAAACGCCCAGAATCCGTTGTTCCCGATGGAGAGATGAGAGTTGTTGTTGGAGTTGCGCCGTCCCCCGTAAATTGTCGTTCCCAAGTAAGCAGAGTAGTTGAAGAGTGGAACAAACTTGGTGCTGGGGTTGGTGTCTTTTTTTTTGTCGTTGTTTTGTGTTTTTGTGTAAAATCAAAAGGTAACAAGTCTCTTCTCCGTTTCGACTTCCTCCTTTTTTCGCTCTCTGATGAGCCGTTTGAGCCGTTCCCTTACCACCTACGAGTGAACGTGGAGTAGAGTACTAGAGCTCAGAAGGGGGTAGACGCCAGTGATTGGTAAAATGGAGAGAGAGAAAAACCGCCCGGGCCCGGTATATCCTGTATTTGGGGGAATTTTTATTCCAGAAGATGCGGAAGAGAGTGTTGAAAGCAAGAAGAGCGGGAGGAGTGAATCTCGTTTGCGGGGGGGTATTAGTCCTCCTCGACTCCGGTAATCCACCAGAAAGGTTTATTCGGCCAACCTCGATGAGAAGTGGAGATGGGTTTTCAGAAAGAAAAGACAGCTCCCAAATGGTGACGTTTCCAATCTGGTGTGGGAGAGAGGGGAGAAAGTGACGTGCCGGCATGGAAAGCAGACCTCCGTGGGATCGCAGTTCTCAGACAACCTCCTATCCTTGTGATGCAAATCCGGAAGGCAAAGGACCAAAATGACAAGAGAAATAACCGTGTTAAACGCCGTGACAGTACCATGATCGCTTTTGTACATGCGTTTTCTGGCTGTGTCTGGTCGAGAGTCAACTCAACCAACAAGACCAAAAAAGTCAACCGAAACCTCTCAGACGGTCTTGGGTGTTCGCGCGTTGCTGTGGTCGATAACGTCGTCGAGGTGGTTGCACATGGCCACGAACAGGTCAAAGAAGAGCTTGCTACCGCCGCGCTCCATCTCGGCTTGCATGGTTCCGCTCCTCTTGAATGTCTTGCGACATCTGATGATCAGAGCGAGGTAGTGAGCGCGCAGCCGGGAGTCCGAGTCGGGGGTGTGGGCGTAGGCGTACTGGGCGGAGCGCAGGATGGTGCCGATATCAATACCGGACTGGAGACCCTGCTTGCGCAGAGCCAGGCGCTTGAGCTCCTCGAGCCCGTACCGCTCCGCAGCGCAGTAGATGACGGTGTCGCGGAGGATGTGTTGCCCGCAGCCCGAGACAAAGATTGTTGCCTCACTCGCGGTGGTACCGGTGGTTGTCGATGTGGGAGTGGAGGGAACGGCGGCTGCGCGGCCGCCTCGGGGGGTGTTTTCGGGGTTGGGGGAAGTTTGGGGAGTTCCTCTGACGGCGTCCTCGAGCTCCCAAGAGTTGCGGTGCCTGTTGTGGACGAGGCGGGGGTAGTAGTCACCCTTGTAGAGGTACTCGAGGACGGAGGAGAAGATCTCGGGTTCTTCGTCGGGGAGGGATATTCTCTTGCTCTGCGACTCGAAGAACTGGCCTCGACAGGCGGCCTCGAAGAAGGGCGACTGGAAGAGGACGTCCTCGTGAGCAGCAAACAGTCGACCCTCGCGTCCCACGGTCAAGGTGACGATGGGTGAAGGGGCCACGGACTTGCCCGTCTTGGTCGGCAGCGGCGCGGGGGCGGCTGGTGGGGCCATGGCGGGCTTCTCGTTGACGGACTGCTGCATTTTCGATAGCTTCTGGTGATCCCGGATCGAGCTTGACTTCTTCAGCCTGGACGTCTTGTCGACACGGACGTTGGGGTCTTGCGACCTGAAGGTACGCTTGAACAACGACATGACGGTTGTGGTTTGCTAAGAGAGAGCGGGCGTTGTAGGCCCGAAGAAGTTGTTGTTGTTGCTGATGCTGATGATGTTGCCGATGTTGTTGTTCTGATTAAGGAATGACAACTCGAATGGGGAACGATAGAGTAAAGACTAGGGAAGCTGAGACGATGGAGAGCGCGTTGCCCAGGGACCTTATATGTCTTTGTCTATGGGATGAGAAGACTTGTAGAGAGCGACGAAATGAGCGAATAGAGGAGAGGGAGGAATGACGAAGTCGGAGGGGTGTTCGGATTGGAGGGGGGAGGGGGGGATAGAGCGAGAGAGAGAAGAGAGTGAGAGAAGTGAGGGACGAGTGACACACAAAAAGATTGACTAGGGGTCCGGGGTGAGAGATGCCTCCTATGGAAAGGGAATTCAGTAACGAACGACCCAAGGAGGTATTCCCAACTTGCAACTTTGCGACCCTTTTTTGGTTGTGGTTGAGGGGGGGAGGGGGAGAACAAGAGGGAAGAGGGGTGGATTGCGGAGGGGGGGCTTTCATATTTATACCATCACGTTAAGTTGGTGATGTTCTTAGGCTGGATCTTTTCTTTGGCAGGGTATCATTGGCTAGCGTATTCCCAACCGCCGCATTTCTGGGTGGCGGCGGGAGGTGTGTTGCGTAGTGCGAGCCGCGTGTTTGATAGGACGAACACCAAGCACACCCGTCCCTACTGCCAGTTCCAAGTGATCACTGGCAAGTACTCGCAAGCACCATCTTCACGCCAGAAGGTACTTGATGTTCAGCAGGCAGGGTAAACAACTGGCGCGCGTTGCTGACGCTTGAGGGGGAAACCTGGAACTGGTGCAAAGAGCTGAACGGCCATGAACGCTGTTGGGGCACATTGCCAGCTGCGGACCGGGCAGACATGGACAGCCCAGGCAGCATCTCAGCCTAACCACGACCAAAATGGAACGTCGGGGATGTCAGTGACTTCACCCGCGGTACTTGCCAACTGCCAGTCTGCCACTCAGCTTTCACCGTTGCAGACTGTTAGGCTCTCTCTTCTCTGTGCTTCACCAATGGAACAAGGACATGGAAGCAGTTGAGTGACTTCAGGATGGCAGCAAGTACCTTACTCGCAAGTTGCAACGGCTCTATGACTGGACGGATACGCAATGGCAGACTGACACGAATGATTGTGAGAGAAATACGTATCTTTTCTCAGGGTATCCGCCATGGAACCGCCGCGCCTCCAACCGGGGAGTAGCCGCTAAGGCACCCGACACTTTCCCCTTTGCCTCAAGAGCCAGACCTAAAAGTTAAGTCTAACTACCTATCTGAGGTACCTCATTGTACAGCGTCCCTATGCAAGTGCCAGAAGTACTTTGCAATAACACATACCGGTACTTGTGGAGGCTCCCCTTGGAACAAAACGGTCACCGGCCATCGGCCCTGGGCCCAGACCAGAAACCTCCCCCTCCCCTCCGTGCCTTCTCCGACCCCCCCGAGATTGGGAACGGGCCTCCCGGTGCGTTGGCAGACTGGATCTGGAGTACTTGGGTACCTCTGGGCAGGTATCTTTCTTCACCTCATGTTCTCAATTGGGCATGGCTCAGGTACATCCATCTTGTACCTCTTGTTCCTTCTCCCGAGTCCGCCAAGAGACAATCGGAAGGGTCCAAAGTCGGGAATGGCGGCCCAAGAAACCTCATCCGGAGACACCTCACCATCCTCGCATGCGCTGTCGTCAGGACCGCACGTGAGGTCATCGCAACGCGGGGCTCCCTCAGTTGCGCGAGTCCTTGGTGGTTCTTCTCATTTCCCTCTTTCAGACTCGACACCTCAGGATTGTGTTACCTCCTGAACACCTCGGGACATCATCTCAGGAGTCAAACGATACCTGCCCCATGGATCCCTCATGGACACCAGAAGAAGTCGCCAGAAGGCGGTCGACGACCCCTTGGCACCATCATTGGCTCGTTGCCCGGGTCATGAGCACCCATACCCTCATCAAAGTGCCCAACAACCTACCTAGATTCCGTGATCGATAAGGTATCCGACTGATTCGGCCAAGCTGCCAACTCACTGACGGCTCGACATCTGCCCTTCCGGTTGGTGAGTTCGTCGTCTGGACATGCCGCCCACGGTTGCCATGGTTGCCATCTACTCTATCCTCGCAGGATCGGGACTGCTCGAGATGCTGCACCCTCTGCACCTCTGCATCTCTCCCCTCATCGCCGCCTCCCCCGGATCGCCCAAGCTTCCGCCCTGCCACGCGGGATTGGATAGAGCCTCATGCTCTCTGCAATACTTGGAGACCTGAACTTGCGTGTAGGTGCCTTACCACGCAGTTCCTCCTCCCAGTTCACGGCCTTTCCACGACTGAGAGCTCGCCAGCGTCTACCTTCTCTCCCCAGACTGCTTCACATTGGTCTCAGTAGCGCCGTCGTGAACGCATTCAGACCTCACTGTCTCACCAGCCACAACCTAACTTTATTTCATCCAAACCACTCTGAACCCCATCCAAATCCAAACTCGCTCAAAGCCGCATGAACGACAATTCTTTTCCATAATCAGTCACCTACCTACGGATACCTCAGTCAGTTCTGACTTGCCAGGCCAGTCATGCCGTTGCTTCGGACTCAACTTCTAGAATCCCCGTTCGGCTCGTCTCGACTCTCAACCCCTCCTCCTCCTTCTCAGCCCAACATCCCAGTATTGGTCTCTTTGGTCCATGGATCGATCCACGAACCCTTGCAACCAAACCCCTCCTCTTGCTCCCCCCTCCCACTTCCTCCTCGGACAAAATCACATCGTCGACTTTGCGTCCCTCTTCGAGATTGGCGTTTGCCGCTAGTCGGGCAGATTCAGGCACAAAATCACCGCCGCCAATCATCAAGAGCCACCACGACCCGGTCCCGCTCGCTTGTCTCCCCCAATCCCTGCTCTCCGCCTGTCTTCATCGTCGGTAAGCCCAGTGACCTGCATCACCGCCTCAACACCGCTCCTTGCCCCCAGCTCCATGATCCATCCATCGCTCTTCCCCTCGCGTCCCGTCCCGTCAACGCCCATGATACCATTACCTGCCAACCTTAGTCGTGGATTCCCCTTCCAAGTTCCCAGCAATCACAATTCATTCGTCAGACAGTGCCTCGGTCCCTGGAGATCTAGGAATTGCGTGTTGGAAGTCATAATGCTCTAGGTTATTTTGGTAATCGTATGTTCACCCTCCCTGGCATCTTGCCCTCCACCGCCTCGAGCGGTACACTACACCATCCTCGACTCCAGCCCGATGCATGCCTTATCAATCCTACATTCTGAGGCATCCGTCCACTGTACCTATCAACGACGCATGGCCAAGCCCGATGGAACCGGCCACCACCGCCGTGCTCACCGCCCGACGCCTGCCCCGTTCATCTCCGACAAGACCCGTCTAGACCGAAAGTCCCTCAGTGGCCCGCCACCGCGGCAGCGGCGGCAACCCGTCTCGTGTGGGCAGCTCGGGCCATGTTCTCGCGCATACCAACGAGACCGTACATGAATGCGTACACTAGTCGACAAGTCAGTATAATCTTGGTCAAAGTCACCAGGTACCAGAGGGAACCCACTGATGGGAGCAAGGATTACAAATCCAATCGACGATGCCACAACGGCCTCACGGGATCCGACATTCTTCTCGTTCAGCCAGTAAAAGGCATCGGCGCCAGTCTCGACTTTGCCGATGGCTGCCCAACCGAGATAGAGACCCGCGAAGAAGATGACGCCCAAAGTGTGTGCGCCAACGCCCTGCCCGTTTCATTCGTGTCAGTGGATGTTTCTTGCCTCAGGTACAAGGCAACTCACAAAGGGGCGCTTGATGCTGTTGAGCCAGAAGATCTCAATGAGAGAGACGGCTGATGTGATGCCGAAGAGGTTGATGATTACAAAGGCCTTGTACCAGCCCTTTCCGAAAATCTCCGTGACTGAGATTATGGTATTAGACCAAGTCAACATCAACAAGACGTCATGGCTTACAAGGTTCATGTGGCCCATTGTTGTGTGAGTCTTCCAAGCTGGTCCATTCGGATGCAAAAGCGTCCCCAATCATATCGGCCATGGCGGAGCCTCCGGATGGCTGAGGCTTGGGGGGCTCTCCCGTGTTCTTGTCGTCGTGCTCCAAGGTAACAAACCAGTAGATGACTGTGTTCATGAAGGTAAAAACAGTTGTGATGGTGTAGAACAAGGTGAAGTAGAACTGCTTGCGAAGACTGGCCATGTCGTAAGGCAGTGACAGGGTTCTCAATGCCCAGTACTCCCAGCCAGTACTGGTCTCCTCGATATGTGGATGATAGAGATGAGTGTAGGTCCAGCCCTAGGATTAATGATCGAGGTCAGCAACAAGCCATCACTCAGAATTCCTACGCTGTAGGCTGACATACCAGTACAACCGCATGGTAGGCCAAGAGTAGAGAAAAGGTGACGACGGAGAAGTCAAAGACCACTCGCCAGTCAGAGTAGGCAGACTCTTCTTTTCGCAGCTTGTAGTCAAGAACCGTAGCTCCGACTGCGGTCAGGTAAGCAACGATACCACCTCGAACCCAGCACAAGTGGTTCTGGGAGAAGGACCGCCAGGGTGAATGGCATGCTCTCAGAAACGCAGGCTAAAGAAGATAGGTTAACTGAAGCCGTGAATATGCCTAGCAATCGACAATCGAGCGTACATGGTCTTGAACCTGGCCATAGGATGCCGGCGTGGGCAGGCCATGTCCATCATGGTATTCCGATTGCCCGTGGAGCAAGGGAGTGGTGACGGAGGCGTCCATCGCGATGGCTTCTAACAGAGGCCAGGCAGGATACTGAAGAGAGGTCGTCGAAGTTTGGAATCTGAGAGAGATGATGCTTTGGGCGCCCTGATAATGTTTAATTTACAGAAGAAGGCTGACGGCTTGTTGGCAAACACCAGGCAAAGAGCTTGAGAAAAAGACTGAGAGAGGGATGTCAGGTCGAGGAGCGGGGGATGCGATGGGATAACATGGGATAGAGACATGTGGAATATTTCAGAAGGGACCTGCTGCCTTCCATCTGTCGGTGAAGCTGCGACTGCCGATGTTGGCTGTGACATTTAAAGAAGGAAGTCATGTCTGACATATGTGCCTGTCTCGTTCATCCACAATGTCGGAAGGAAGTGAGCGATCTGTGAAATTCCAGTTGAGGTTTAGGAAGGAAGGTAACGGGCAGCGTCGGCTGTCAGTCAGTCAGGAAGACATTGTGCGTGCCACTTGCGGTAGATACCAAGTGAGCCATTGAGATCAGGCAAAGAGATCAGTACTGGGACTTTGATATTGGGAATATACACGACGGGTTTTGGTGAATTCTTATGTCTTACTTGAACTGCGAACATCCTAACTCTACCTATGGTGAGTAGGAGCTTTGTGTTTGACTTGTAGCACATTCCTGCAAGATGACTGGTATTCAATGCATGTTATAATGTACCTTGAAATCAATTGATGCTTAAGCTGCAGGGATACTTTATGTTCCATGACTTCTGTGGTTCTACCTACGAAGAAGATGCAGCTTGCAGCTTGGAGATGTTAGATGAGGCAGGTTCACTGGACCAGAGAGCTCCACGCAGAAGGAGAATAAACGGTGGTCTGTGCACCACGCCCGTCTTGAGCCGACCGTTGGTGAGAACCGATAAGATAAGTAGAGTACGTACCTCAGGATCTCCATTGACACGTTCCACGTCTGCAAAACAGCTGGCCTGTGCTCTTGCTCTTGCTTCCAGCTTCAAGGAAGGTGCGTTGCTGGCCAGAACTCAACTCCAAACTGACCATCACGACTCGAGACCTGCCACCACCGACGACGCTACCAACAACACCGCCCGCACTTATCAGAACCGCCGGAAACATGTTGTCGAGTCTCGGAAACCCGCGCCAGGCAGCGTCGCAACTGCTCAACTTTGCGCTGATCCTCTCGACTGCCTTCATGGTGTGCACATCGGCCTTCCCCAAAGAAGCTCTTGCTAACTCCAGTGGCAGATGTGGAAGGGTCTTTCCGTGATTTCCGATTCCCCCAGTCCGATTGTCGTCGTTCTCAGTGGTTCCATGGAGCCTGCCTTTCAGAGAGGCGATCTCCTTTTCCTTTGGAACCGCAACCTGATCCAGGAAACCGACGTTGGCGAGATCGTTGTCTACGAAGTCAAGGGCAAGAATATTCCCATTGTCCACAGAGTGGTTCGCAGATTCGGCTCTGGGTAAGCTACTCGTACACTCCGTCTCCCATTGCTTTCCTTGCTAACCGAGAGGCTCGTTATAGACCGGAAGCGAAGCTCCTTACCAAGGGCGACAACAACAATTCCGATGACACTGGTTCGTGGCTCCCTCCCTTCGAGTTCTCCGTGACGTGAGTAAAGACTGATCCAAAGCAGAGCTCTATGCCAAGGATCAGGACTACCTTGTGCGCAAGGATATCATCGGCAGCGTCGTCGCATACATCCCCTTCGTCGGCTATGTTACGATCCTCCTTTCAGAATATCCGTGGTTGAAGACGGCAATGCTGGGAATAATGGGCTTGGTAGTGGTGCTGCAGAGAGAGTAGACTCGTCATCATGGCCAGAAAATTGATACTCACATTCGATGCCAGTTAGGAGCCATCGAGCGACAGAATCGCGAAAGCCGCTGCAGAGACCAACAAGATTGGAGAAACAGCACATTCGCGGTTTTTTTGGGAAGCCGCGACGGTGATACTTGGATTGATTGATTTCGATGACCGATGGGGCCTCGGTCTCGTACGTGAGATTTGGCGGGGCTTTTGCCAGCCACCGCTGCGCTTCTGTGAACTGAGACAGACATCCTGAGGATTTACCATTGTACAGCTGGCACCCAACGCTGGGGTTTACAGAGATGAGAGAATCATATTGTCAGGTCTCATAGTAGGAAAACCTCCAACGCAGCAACTACCGAGGTCCAGGCGTTAGACACAATATGTCTTCCATTCCCTCGAGGACCGTTATGCCCTCGATCTCGCAATCGTAGTGCATCTTCAGCTCTCGTGGCACGAACTGGGGTTTCTTTGTGTCTAGGCAGCCAACGGCACAGCTGACAGGGTTCTGCTTAAGGCCCATATGAGCCAAAATTGTGGTCCAATGGCAAGACCCTGATCTCCGCCGCCAACTGGTTCTAGCCAGGGGCGCCGTCCTTTTTGGGACGCGATTGTTACCGCGCCGGTGCCTGTATCATGCACCAAACCGTTAGAAGAGCGGCACAGTCGTGCGATAAAATGAGCCAAAATTCCGGTGCCGAAAATTTGAACCAACGCCTGTGTCTCTTGCTCCTTTTCGGTTCGTGTTGAAAAGCGCCATCGGTTTTGTTGCCGCTCATTTTGCGGTTCGGACTACACCAGAATCGTGGACTCTCGTGTTGTAAAGTCGCTGTCGAAGTGTGTAAGACGCTCACTAAGCCACTCAAATTCATCATGGCTTCAACGCAGTACGCACCACAGTCGCAGTACGCACCGCCTGATGGCTTCGAAGGCTACGTGCCATACGCGCAACAAGCTCCTCAAGAAATCCCATTCAACGCAAAATGGCACCGAGCAAAGATTGTCATTCGCGGCTTCAATATTGCGTTCAGCGCCATCGTCCTCGGCATCTCGCTCTCTCTCATATTTTACTCATTCTCAAGTTCATTCTATCTTGTATTCAGCGGATTCCCCGTAAGCAGTGTGCTCCTAGAATGACGGTTCAATATCGGGGACATGAGATATCTAACCCGCTTTTAGGCAGCCGCTCTTGTGTGTTGGGAAACCTCTGAACTCATCACCATCTGCGCGAGAGGCGGGAGGCGTGGAATCCACCCCGGTGCTCACGTCGGAATGCACTTGCTCTTCTGGCTCGTCTTCATGGTGGCCACTGGATGGGAGATTGCAAACATCATCCTCCGCGATGGTCCGCGGTCGTGGGTGTTGAGTGGTGGCCAGGTCACCTCTATGCAGG